CTGACCTATAGCTTACAAACCTTCTGTGGGTTTTTTTTTTTTTTCTTTTTTTGGTGGGGCTGGGGTTTGAACTCAAGGCTTTGTGCTTGCAAAGCAGGCACTCCAGTGCTTGAGCCATACCTGCCTTAGCCTCCTGAGTACTGTCATTATGGCGTGCACCACCATTCCTGGCTGGGTTTCTATAATGAATAAAGAAATGTTCTTTTCTTCTATTGCCTGTTTCTCTTTAATTTTTCTAATTACTAACTGTAATAACATGAAACTTACAGTTCCTTTCCTCAAAAATAAGGTAGAATACTAGGATCTTAAAGATTAAGAAGAACCACATGAGGACTGGCAGTGTAGCTCGGAAGTAGTATTCTTGCCTCCTGTGTGCATGAGGCCCCTCTGATCCACAGAACCACACACAAAATGAAAAAGACAGGCTATCGAGCCCAAGCTCACACTCTAGAGAATACCTGAAATTTTGCCTTCTAGCCTTTGCTTAAACTTTTTTAGTAAAAGGTGCTTTTTCTATAGTTGGACAGCACAGTTGTCAGGCCTATCGGACGTACCCAAATGTTGCTCTAAACTCTGCTTTCTTGGAACCTCCCTCACATCTTTAGCATGGCAGAATAGATACACACTCCTCCTTTTATTTTTGACAGTCCTGGGGTTTTAACTCAGAGCTTTACACTTGTTAGACTGGTGCTCTACTACTTGAGCTGCACCTCCAGTCCTTTGTGCTCTGATTATTTCAGAGACAGGGTCTTGCTCTTTGCCCAGACCAGCCTGGACACAATCTTCGTAGTCCAGCTGCTGGGATGACAGGTACGTGCTACTGTGTCCAGCCTTTTTCCACTGAGATGGGATCTAACAAACTTTTTTGCAGGGGCTGGCCTGGAACTGAGATCCTCCCCATATCAGGCCCCCAGATAGCTTGGGATGACAGGTACATACCACTGTGCCCAGCTGTTGGTTGAGATGGGGGTCTCATGAACTCCCTGCCCAGGCTGGCCTCAAACTTGTGAGTTGCCTGAGTTCTGGTATTACAGGCATATACCACAATGCCAATCCAATATACCTCTTGATACTTAATAGCTCTTGATGATGAAAATGCAACAAATAACTCTCCTCCTCCATTCCTCCCAAGAGAAAAGGCTCACAGTCCTTTATTTGTTATTTTCCACACCCAAACAATCCAACTTCCTGCATACTGGATGAATCTTAGATTGCCCACATCCTCTTTAAAACATGTTGCCAAAAATACAACATAAATATAATATACAAAATGTCTCAATTAACCTACTACTTTTGCATGTATATTGAGCCAAATCCAGGAAGACCAGGGAGTCACTCTTCAACTGAGTATGTTTATTGCACCAGAAAGAATTCTGCTTGCTCTGCCTCTCCACATCTCTCTCAACTTATCAAAAGCATCCAGAGAGGGCCAGCCCCCTAGCTCTTGAAGTGGTGTCATGGATTCCAGTTAAGCGTTTTGGTTTTTTTTAATTTATTTTATTGTATTTTATTTTATATTTTGCAGTACTGGGATTTGAACCCAGGGCCCTACCCTTATGAGGCAGGTGCTCTACCACTTAAGCCACACAGCCAGCCCTCCAATTAAGCATTTCTTAGTGTTACTATCAGCTAATTCTGGACTAGATGGTGTATGCCCCATTTCTTACATTCTTATGTTATGTGTGAAGAAATATTATCAAAATCCCCTCTCAGAATCTATGGAATTGGATCCATCAGAAACACAGCATTAAGGACAAATACAAAAAAAAATATTTATTTTATTTGAGATTACATATGGTATAACTTTCAGACCTTGACTATCTGAAGACATTTTTGTCCCTTCAAATTCAGATCTGTGTGTCTTTCATAATGAACATAGTTTTTTCACATCTTCACTACCAACTGAAACTGAGTTGAGGCAAAAGCCTGGGTCATTCAAACCAAATGCCTTTTCAGCCTATGGAGGCTTTGATCAGTACTGAAGGCCAAAAACAAAAACTGCTATCATGTTACATTAAATTGAGACTATATTGTGTCTTATCCTCCACCATCATCACTAACCCCTTGTGTCAAAAAAAAAGGAGGAAGGAAAATAAGAGGCAAAAGGGAGAATTTGCTATTGGATTGTTTGCTATCAATTTCAGGGAATTTGTATGTGTATGAGAGAGAAAATTGTGCCACAGTCAGCACAACTGGTGCTACATTCCAAGTTCTTCCTTTTTGGTCCATTCCAGCCAGGAACAGCCACAAAAGAGAAGACTGGAGTGAAGGTGAACTGGCATCTTCCCACACTCAGTGCTCACGAATCAGAGCCAGGCTCCCTGGCCTGTGATCAGGCAGAGCTGAGCTCATGCTAACCATGTTTCCTGTTTACCTGCTTCATCAAGACAAAAAAAAGCTCATGAAATCACTTACTCTGCTCCTCATAGACTCAGAACAAGCCATGGCATCTTGTGAAAGCAGAAGCAAGACATAAATGCCTAGTACTTTGGAGTTTGTGTTTGTTATCTAATTTAAACACACACACACACACACACACACTTTTCTCCAAATGCATGTATTTCTGCTCACTTTAAAGATCCTTTCCAAATCCTATTAGCAGTTGTTCTTGAGATTATCCCCTTGGTTCCATGTTCTTGTGAAATAGTATCTATTTTCCCTTCCAGGTGACCAGGACATTCTTATTCACAAATCACGCTCCTCTCTCTAACCAAATCTTATTTGTCTTATTATAAAGCATTTGGTTTAAACTCTTGCCTTAAAATCATTCTTGTCATGTGGGTATACAGCTTGCCTAGCAGGCAGGAGGCCCTGGGTTTGATCCCCAGAAGAAATTTTAAAAAGTACTGTCATCTGAGCAGAGGAGAGAAGAAATGTGAGCCTAGATTTGTTTTTTAATAACCACACCGTCACACTCTAAAGAAACAGAGTGGTGTGTACAAAGTGATAAAGGCAAAATGCCAACCAATACATTGTTGCAAGAAAAAAAAGGGGGGCTTTCAAAAAAGGGAACCAAGAGTTGGGAGAGTTTTTTTATCCACCTTTGGCTATTCGCTAGCCCAAATTTCATGGATAAGCCCCTCGATCCTGCCCAGCCTCAATTTCCTGATCTGTGAAAGGGAAAAATAATATTTGTTGTCTGCTTCTCACAACCTCCCTGAATGATTACAAAAGAAACACTTTGGAAAATTCACAAGTCTCTGCAATGCTTACGTCTTAAAAAGCCCTGGTTTTGCCTCCTACAAGATGCCGATTGGGTAAAGCTCTCTCTCTGCACTTATCTTTGCCTCAGGTAGGTAATGTCTTCCCAACACAGCTGTATTTTTAAAGCCCACTGTTAACATTCATAGAATCACAAAACTTAGACCTAGAAGGATCTTTAAGATTCATCCCCTTATTGGGGAAATAAGGAAACAAAAAAAATTAAATGTAACCCAAGCTCACACCATTGTACTTTATGTTCATCATTGGAAACCAAGGGTGGGGATTCCACCCTGCCACACTCACTCTTTTCCAGCCTCCCTGGCTCTTTTACCTAAAGACACAGCCAGAAGCCAAAAGCGGATCGGAAGCCGAGGTCGCCTTCCCCATGGCTGCAGTATGCAGTGTCGTTAGACAATTTGCTAGCATTTCAAATTCCAAATATCTAAAGATCCCTGTCCCTTTAGCATTTCGGAGCGACAAAATACCATTTGCGGTGACCTTTTTAACGTACATGGGACTCAAGACCATCAATCAAACAATGAAAATCAGAAAAAATCAGGGTCGGGAAACAGAATCTCTTAATAGAGGTCTTTAGCCAAGTTCATTTCTGCAGGAAATAGGAAAACTGGCTAGCGCCAAGGGGAGGGAGCTTGCGCTCGGGAGGACGCGGTAACAAACGATTCCCGGAAACGCGTGCTCTTTCCCAGTTTTGCCCGGCAAGCCCTTTATTAATCTGAAAAGACTGCGAACCCACTAAGAGAATAGAAGACCTCCCAGGGGAAAAAGAGAGAGGCGACGCGCAGGGCAATCAGACCCCCTCCCCCGTCCCACCTCAATAGACGCCAAACAGGTTCACGCCGTCAGCGTTCACCATCAGGCTGTGAAGCGTATTCGTAATTGACCTTAACCTTGTTAAAACTCTGCATTCCTTAAAATGCACTGAAAATGAACATTTCCACACACAACCCGAGGAACACTCGCTTTGAAAATGTCATTAGCGGGTGGGATGGAAGAGTTGCGGCACAGGAGCTCAACAAGTTTGAGGGTTCCCGCCGCACTGTAGTGGGGGAGGGGGGGTGTAAGATGCAGCCACACCAGGAACCACGAGCCTAGGAAGTGTGCCAGGACGCAGATCCTCGAGCTTTTGATGAGAACTGGAACAGGAGAAAATGGGAGCGCGGTTCTGAGAAGGAGGTGGTCGCCTGGGGTTTTAGTTAGAGATGGGGGTTGTGACAAGCAGCACGCGAGTCCATCCCCGCACCAGACATTGAAACGACCATCCTGGGAGGTCGGCCTAGATCCCCGCAGAGCAGAAGGCCCCAGTCACCTGATCCCTTACTCTAGGCCAACTGAAATGCTTAAGGTAGGCAAAGGTCCGGGTGGAGAGGCTGTGGAACCCGGATGACTGAGCCGGGGACAGGTGGCTGAGCAATGAGGGAGGAGCGGTTCTGCGTTTGCAGCCGAGGAAAACCTACTCCGCCGGATGACAGAGCCGAACGCCCAGGTCCAGTTTGGGTCGCAACACTGGGCGGGACCCTGGCTCTAAGACGCCGGAATGAGGGAACCCAGGTACGCACTCTCCCCAGTAAGCGCAGGGTAGGGTCGGGACGCGAGGCGCAATGCCTGTCACCAAGGCGCTGGGTCCTCAAGGGTTCAAGAGTGGGTTTTGTGGGTCTTCTAGGAGCTGATGATCTCCGAGGCCCGCCGCAAGACCAGAGTCTGAGTCTTCCCATCCGCCAGAGAACCGCGCCTGGCCCCGCGGTCTCTCTCCCTCCTTCCCTCCCCAACCGGGCGACTCAGAGCACGTGCGGCCCTGAGCTGAGTTCCCCCTCGTCCCCAATGTCCACCTCGTCCTCTGGCTCGGTCAGCACGAAGGGGCCAGCGGGCAGGCTCAGGCGAGCGTCGCCGGCGGTGGCGGCGGCCTCTGGGCCACGCGGGCTGCTCTCGGGGCTCTCCGGCCCATCAGGTGCTTTGGACTCGTCTTGACTTTTCCTCAGTTGCTTTTTATGCTTCATCCGCCGGTTCTGGAACCATGTTTTCACCTGATTCGGGGAGATAAAAACAAAATCAAATCGTTCTTCCAAATATTTAGTGAGCTAAGATCTGAGCAATTGCTGGGGGTTAGAAAAATGGACCGCAATTCATTGGAATTGAATTATCCAAGAGCTGTGACCGCCTCGCTTTTGGATTAACTCACACCTGAAGTGCTCGCAAATTATTATCTTAAATTAAATGCGAACCCAAGGCTTCCAGGAGTCATTGTCCCAAAGTAATAATAAGGATCGAAATGGTTTGGTTAGTAATTTTACCAATACTGTTATTAGTCAAATTACTAGTGGTAGTTGCTGCCTGGACGAGTCTCCGTTACACTCAACTTATGTTCGTCTTGATTGAGACATACAAATACCTGGTCCAGCACCACTCCTGAACAGGAAGATAAGAATTGGACTTGTTGGTTTTCATCGGAGGAAAAAATGAGAACCAGCTCTGGCAAGCTAAAGATTTCATACAAGTTCCAAAGAGAGGGGAGGAAAGGGAGGAGTTTGAGGGCTATAGGTGAATAGTGCCTGGAGCAAAATGAAAACAATTCTTTCACTCAAGACAGGAGAATAGAGAGGAGGCTTAAACTACAGTGTGTTGAGTGTCAGATCGGGGATGCATATGAAGACTTGCTGGAGTTGAGATTGATTGGAATAAGAAGGGAGAGAAAAAATGTCCCTGTGTGGGTTTCTCCCGGACAAGAAATCATCTAATCTCTGATTAGTTTGATTAGTTCGACTCCGACCGCGGTTACTTTCTTGCTTGGAGGGAAAGGGAGGAGGGGCATAGAAACAACAGTTCTTAACCCCGAGGTGATCATGACAATCACCCGAGAGGGTTTTCTTCCTGTAGAGCTCTGCTGGAGAAATTTTGTAAATCTGACATGAACTTGAGGTATTGGTAGTTTTTAATAAGGACATTGGGGGGAAACCTAGAAAAAAATGAGAACAGGGTCATTCTCACTTGAAGATTAACTCAATGGATTCCTAAGTGTTAAGAGTTGTGCGCCGCAAAGGTCTGGGCCTCGCGCATCCTCCCGCCCACCTGCGTCTCAGACAGGCTGAGGGCTGTGGCCAGCTCCACCCGTTCTGGCGTGGACAGATAGCGCTGTATCTCGAATCTCTTCTCAAGGCCGGAGAGCTGCGAGTCAGAAAAAACCGTGCGAGCTTTGCGGCGGCGACAGTGCTTCCCCGGCAGCTCCGCGTGCTGGGGGTGCGGGAACAGTGCCGGGACCGGTACCCCTGCAGAGAGAACAGCAGCCTAGTGGGTAGAGTCGAAATCACCAGGACGCATCCTCCACTCCACTTCATTCCCCACCTCTAGTACTCAGCGCGTCCCTCGGCCAGGCCTCCACCTGTCTCCTGCTTGCCCCAAAGCTCCTGGAGCCCTTCTCCCAGGAATCCTGGGGAGAGGCTGAGAGGGGGGAGAACCGAAAAATAACGCCTGGAGATCTTCTTCTAGAAGGACATCCAGAAGTAAAAATAATAAATAGCAAGTAAAGCAGAAAAAGAAACTTATAACGTAGGACCGGAGGCCTTAAAAAAAAATGTGTCTTTGGACAGACTTCCGTAGGGTCTACCCGCGCCCAGTAGTCTGTTGCGCCTCTCCAAGTTTTCTTGAAAATATCAGATGGTCCAGGAGCTGTCCACCGGCATCTACCCAGACCCCTGATGACACTCATTCTGTTCTGGAGCTAAGAGAGAGGATAGATATGATTTTGCTTCCTAAACTCACTTTAAAAAGCACCTTTCTCTTTCTGGGGCCGTCCTCATCCTCCTGCAACCAAGAAAACAGAGCAAAACTCTCATCCAAAGAAACTCTGGAGCCCGCCTCTTGTCAGTTCCAGGGTTGCACTGGAGACCCTGCTAGCTTGTCTAGTCCTCATTCTTTCCCTCAGAAGAGGGAAGCGCTTTCCCCTGGCAGGATCAGGGGAGACTTTTCTGTTCTCCTCCCTTCCCCACCACTCTCTCCGCTTTATTTAGTGTCTGAGACTCCCCCAAGCAAACAGAAGCTGCTGCAGACACCAATATCTTCCAATCCGGGGGGCGGGGGAGAAAAAGGAAAAGCAAGCAGTTTCCATATAGCAGTCTTTGGCTATTGCTTCATGAGGACCACGTCAGTGCGGTGGCAAAGAGAATGTCGCGCTGCGTGTGCGGACCTCAACGCAGGCTTTATATGTAATTCTCTCTCCAACCTAGTGCCAGAGAGTTTGGGTTTTACCTCTTCACACACTTAGCTTTTGCGCTGTATTCCAGAGCCCACATTTCACAAATTGCTCCCAGCTTCTGCCCTTACCAGGGATGTTTTCACTACTGTGCTCAGCACCTGAACTAAACAAATTATTCTATTCTGGCTGGAGTGAAAATGCTAGAGAACAAAAGATGTGGTTGTGGCCTTCCCAGAAAGACAGAAAGAAATCTAGGTATTTCTTCACTTGTTCCTGTCCCGACCACTTTTGCTAATTTCCATATCTTGCCAGGCTGTAGAAATCAAAACACTTTAACACCCCGGCTCCAGCGATTCCCGCGGGCAGAGGAAAGCAGCCCAGACTAACAAACGACAGTTAAATGCGGAATATTGGAAAATGAGATTTAAAGAGCTGCATCCCTCTTCTTTTGTTTCTTACCCTTTTTGCCTTAATTTTGGCCAGTGCTAACCTTTTTTGTTCAGAGTATCCCAAGCCCTTGTTCCTTTCTATGCCTTCCGCAGAATCCACCAGCGCTCCTCGCTTGGAAGAAGAAAGCTGACCAGGCGGAGGTTTTCAGCTTCTAAGCTGAAAAGTTGAGGTCTGTTCCATGGGACAGGATGGTCAAGGGTCTCCCTCTGAGCGAGGAGAGGCAAAGAATGGAGATGGAGAAATGGAGCAAAGTGGCCAGGAAGATCACCAGCAAGACTGAACACTGCCCACCAAGAATATCTTCAAACCCATCTGCCTCCAGTTGCCTCCTGGCCAGACATTCCCTTATAAAAATGTACAGAGTGGCCATGAGTTCTCCCTCTGTGTTAGCATGCCTCAAATGAGCTCTCAGCCACATCCCCAACCTTCTGTTGTCACTTAGGGAGGGAGGCCACCAAGCCAGGCCAAGTCAGATCTGACTTTTCCTTGACCCTAACACAGGCTTAAGAGTCTGGACCAGTTTGAAGCCCCTGTTACTTACCCGAGGTAGTGAGGAAATAAGGATGGTGGTGGTCCCCCTTATGCAGAGGGTGATGGGCGTGAGGAGCCAGAAGGGTGGGTGTGGGCATGAGGGGGTAGCCATAGTCTAGCAGAGGCACCCGAGAAGCCAGAGAACTGGCAAAATGATCAGGAGCCACCTCCCTCAGCGGCTTGGGCTTATGCAGCAGAATGTCTTCGATGAAGAAGGATGTGGGCCTCTGAGAAGACGCTGCGTGTAGAGGGGAGGTGAAGTTGAGATTCATCTTGTGCGAAACGCCTGCCACAGGGCTAGGGTCAGTAGAAGTCTAGGAAGCAGACGATGTCTCTGCAAGCCTGGGTCAAGAGCCGGCAACCACACTGCGAGGCTCAGATCTGCACTGCTCTCTCCTCGCCTGGGCTACCCCGGGCACTGGAGAGGCAAGCAGACAAGCTCCTGGGTAGGTCGGGTCTATGTGTTGGAGAATTGGCAGTTTGGAGAGGGAGCCGAGAGAGCCAATGGCGAGGCTGCCAGAGGCAGAAGGGAGGGTGCGGTGGGCTCTGGGCGGGGCGGGGATCTGTCCGTGGTGCTGAATGCGTCTGGTTGAGCCTGGGGACAGCAGAGCTGACTAGGTCTGAGTTCCTACCCAGGCTTTTCAATCTCAATTTCTGCCCTTCCACTGCAAGAATTGCTTTATTCAGTCTTTTAAAAAAGAAAGAGAAAGAAAGAAAGAAGGAAGGAAGGAAGGAAGGAAGGAAGGAAGGAAGGAAGGAAGGAAGGAAGGAAGGAAAAGAAAGGAAAGAAAGAAAGAAAGAAAGAAAGAAAGAAAGAAAGAAAGCTAAATGAAAAATCTTACTGTTGCTGGGAAAATTCCTCTTTAGAGAGAAGGGCCCCGTTGCAATAGGGTAAAGCACTAATTCGTGCATGGGCCTGGGTTTCACTATTGATAATGAAAGAAAGAAAGAAGGAAAGAGTGTTCACCGCTCTAAGTTTCTAGACTTAGCTTTAATCTATGGGAGGGATGTTCAGATTATTGAGGTAAATAAAGAAAATGATGACAATCATAATGTTCTTTACCTCCATTTTAGGGAGTTGTGGGGAGGTAGTTTATACCTACATTAGTTTAGTGATTTGGTCACTTTGAATATGTGTAAAGCCAGCCCTTAACTGTCATCTTCTATGTTCCCTCAAATTTCCTTTACTTCATCTTCATTTCACTATATGGTTTGCCTTTTCTGCTAGATCACTCCTTCCAACTCCAGCCTCCCCCAAAATTGTACCAGATTTTGTCTCCTATTCCTTTTCCCTTCGTCTTTCCTTTCCTTCCCCTTTCCCAATTTTTTCTGTTTGTCTTTTTCCAATATGTCATATTTCTTTCCCTAGAGTCAATTTGCTAAAATTAAGGTGATCATGTACAACACAGCAGGGGTAATTTTGGCTCGCATCTCTGAAAATTGCTCTAATTATTGATGTTAAACTCAGGGAAATTAAAAGAAGCCACTTCTCTTCCATCTCCCCATTTTTAAGCTCTAATTTGTTGAAATCTAGTCATCATCACAATTCCAATCACTACTGCTAATAGCAAAAGTGTTCTAATAGAGACTGAGTCCTCACAACCCATGCTATTAGATAATTAGACGAGGTGTTAGAAAGCCAAGTGCTAATCCTTGGGCGCTCGGGTAGGATTTCCATCTGATCTAGCAGGTAGAACAAATTAATTACCAGAATCAATTAGGCCCCAAACTACAGTGCTCCAAGAAGTGGGAGCATCCCCTATTCCACACAGATGAACTGGGAAATGATACGCAGATGAGGAGCATAAGAGGAAAGAGGAAGCCTAGTGGGCGAGACTTTAACATAAGATCTTTACAGGTAGACATCTAAATGAGGTCAGAACACTTTGTCCTGGAGTCCTTCCTCTCCCAAGTTTATTATGGTAAGAACAGAAAACAGGAGAGCAGATGGCACTAGAGAGAAAGACAGTAGACTTTCCAGAAGTTGTTACATAGCCATTAGCCCTGGTTCAGTCGTCTTCTGCAGAGCTGGAGGGAGATGATGGAGACTAGTGAGGAAGTGCTAGGGTGATGTCCACAGATCTTCACTCCCACACCCCACTATGAGTTATGGCATCCATATCCAGCAAGTGGAAATCAAGTCAGTCTTTCTCCAAGTACCCTAAAGGCTGAGTAGCTATTGAAGGTCCGGCAGGCGAACAACTAGACTTTGGCCTGTGCCTGCCTGCACCCTACACTTGGAGCCCAAAGAGAACGCACAGATTAGCACCCAATCCCAGGGGCGGGATTTCAGCTTCTTGGGGGAAGGGGAGGGGACTAACTTTTGCTACAGATTCAAAAGAGATTATTGAATGTCCCTTTGGGAGCAGGGAGCAGCAGTCTTTGGGTGCCAGTCTTTGAGTCAAGGCACTACAAATTCTGCCTTACACCTCGCCCAGAGTATTTGAGGGATGGCAGGAGGAATAATTTTGTATACCCTGAATTCTGCTTCCTACCCCTCCTCCCCCCCACCCCCCAGCTAAAGCTGTCTCCCCAGGCGCTACTGCTCCCCAGACCTGGAATTCCGGGCAGGGACGAGAGGGACGCCCCTCACTCTCCGCTTCCTGCAGCCTAGCCGAGCTGCCCTGGGCGAGGGACTTGAAGGCATTTTCTTACAGAATTCAACTACCCCGCCTTTGCCTGGGTCCCAGTGGGAACCTAAGAAGTTAAGTGAGGGAAGACGGAACGGGGTCGCTACAGAAAGGGGCAGGACCTCGAGCTCGCAGGCCTTTTCCTGCGCTTTCCCTTCCACCAATGCTGGGGAACAAAGCCCAGGGACTGGAAGAGCACGGCACTGCCGCCAGGACCAAGGCAGGCCCCCAGGGGCTCGGAGGCAGTGGTGCAGGCTCGGATGGCGATTCCGCAGTCGCCACCCCTATCCATGAGAGAGAAGGAGACACCCCTTTCTCCAGGGCGCCCACATACATAACAGCCAGCACTTGCCAAGAACCGGCTGTGGGGCCTGAGCCCAGCGCGCGAATGGGCGAACTGTGCCCATTCAAGAGTTTCTGATCCGGTCCTAGCCTCGTGTTCCTTTTAAGCAATGTCTCAGACCCTCTGGGAAATCGCAGGGCCAGGAAAGCGGGAAAGTTTCTCTGCAGTGGCAGGTCTCCAGAGCAGAACCGCAGGGGAAGCGCTGGGCTCATCAGAACCAGCCCTGCCTTCCGCGGAGCCCTGACCAGATCCGTCCTGCTGCGGGTCCCGCCCGCTCTGGATTTCAGTCCTGGTATGACCTATGCTAGGAGAAAGAAGCACTGGAAAGCCAGCAGTTATGTTCAGCGACCTCGCCCCCGCCTCCAGGCGCCCTGCAGGCCCCAGGGCAGCCGGGCAGAGAGTCAGTGTTACATTTTAGAACCGGGTAAAGATTGCTAGCAGCAGGGGAGATGGGCAGGGAAACAATTTCCCCTTTAAAAGCAGAGATGTTTCATTGCCTGGCTTATCTCCAAAGTCTAGACCACCGCTGGTCAATAATATAATAAGACCCACACTGGAATTTACATTTTCTACTGGTCAAATTTTAAAAAGCAGGAAGTCATAGTTTAAAACTAAGAAGCAACAGGTGAAATGTTAATGGATTTCACTTAATCCCAAAGTGCCAGAAATAATATTATTCAACATGTAATCAGTGTGAATATTATTGCATTCTTTTTTCATACTAAATCTCCAAACACCAGTATATATTTTATTCTCACTGCCTATCTCAGTTCACACTAGCCATGTGTTGAGTGTCTAATAGCCATGCTGGGCTCATGCTTACTGTATTGTACAGCAATAATTAATTCCAATGGTCTCTATTAGTCCTTCCAAATGTAGATAGACACACACAGAACATGGAAAGCAGTTCCTGAAACTAACCTAGAAATTTCTCAATGCTTGCCCTTTTCCCAGCAATCATATTCAATATTGTAAGCATCCATTGAGCATCTACTATTTGCCAAGCTCCTAGCCACACACCTTCCCAAGCTTTATGCAAGCCTTAAGAGATTAAATAAATGCATTCACATTACACTTGATTCTCGTTTGTCTAAAATCTGTCACCCAGGGCCAGCAGGTTGTGGTTGTCTGTAAGGTTGATACATAAAGCCAAATCCAGCACACTGCCCAGGGTAAAAATGTAAAGATCAAATGAGTACCCACTCTCTATCTACCTGAAAGATCTGATGGCACTCCTGCTTGTGTTTCAGCTGAAGAATTGTTAATTTAAAGAGAGAAAAGGCATGCTTTTCAGGGAACTGATAATTAAACAGTCCCTCTCTCTTTCATGTCAGCCTCAGCTAAAACTGTCATCTGAGCTGGGACTTAGTTTCCCGAAAAGATAACCCTATTGATGATCAAAGGAAGAGACTGGTTCCATTAGCCAAGTTGCCTATACCGTGGCCTTCAAAATAAAGGGAGAAATGTATTTTAGAAGGATCTGAGTAACACACTTTACTCATAACATTTTGTATTATATTGCTTGTTGTCTGTTTCAACTTACCTTCTATCTGAGTACTTTATTTTAAGCACTGCCAAAGTGGATGACATGTGTACAAAAAGAACAGGAGTTGCTGGCTGCTTCTAGCAAATGCATCTTCAAAAATAATGCTTTTGCACTGGAAATTAGGGTGGGAAGCCCCATGAGAACACGTTCAATGATCAGACATTCAAATCACTGTGTTCTTAATATAACGAAGACTAAATCCATCCAATTTGCTCATCCAGGACTGGGCTAATCTATAGGATTGCATTTTTTCATTTCTCTGATGTTCTCTATGCTGCCTTTGGTAATTCAATTCAAAACATGCTTCATGAAGTATTAGAAAGAAAGGACGACCTGGGAAAGTGAAATTAAAAGTTTGAAATATGAACACCCTATTCCATTTCTTTTTTTTTTCATTTTTCTTTTATTATTCATATGTGCATACAAGGCTTGGTTCATTTCTCCCCCCTGCCCCCACCCCCTCCCTTACCACCCACTCCACCCCCTCCCGCTCCCCCCCAATACCCAGCAGAAACTATTTTGCCCTTATCTCTAATTTTATTGTAGAGAGAGTATAAGCAATAATAGGAAGGAACAAGGGGTTTTGCTGGTTGAGATAAGGATAGCTATACAGGGCATTGACTCACATTGATTTCCTGTGCGTGGGTGTTACCTTCTAGGTTAATTCTTTTTGATCTAACCTTTTCTCTAGTTCCTGGTCCCCTTTTCCTATTGGCCTCAGTTGCTTTAAGGTATCTGCTTTAGTTTCTCTGC